ATATATATATATATATATATATATATATATATATATATGAGCAGCTAACTTTCTTTTAAACCTTTTTTTCATTAAACACAGCAGACCAGGAAGATTGTATACACTTTTTATTCAGTCTTTACAGTATCCTTACTTTTTTCCGTTTTATAGGAGTTAGTGTGTACAGAAATTTTCCATAATTTCCCTTATACCAATTACTTTTGGCTACTTCTTTAGTCAGATGTTCAAGGGGTTTTTGCTTTTGGTGTTGTTAGTTTTTCCTGATGTTTTGACTGTTTAAGTTGTATTCTATTTTGTGTTGTGTTGAATAGGGACGTTTATTCCGAGCCTTCGCATATTGAGCGCGACTGCAATTCACGTGAGCATCTTTCTATCTTTAAAAAACTTTTAACACACCATTTCCACTATTGAATATATATATATATATATATATATATATATATATATATACACTAGCAGAAGTACCTGATATTGATTAATTAAGATATTGATAGATTAATTTCTTCAAAAGTATTACTCTCCTGCTGGTCAAGTATATTGATTTTAACTGAATTGTTGTTTCCAAGCAATCAAAAATAGAATTATATTTGATAATAAAAAGCATTACAAAACAAATATGAGTTCTAAAATGAAAGTCTGTTATCACAATAATTTTATGGATGTTTAGAAAAGTTCTTCTCTTCTAAAAAAAAATACTGTATACACCAGAAGTACCCGTGAAAATTTCACGATTTTCCCATTTGAATTTTCTAATGAATCTTAATTCTTAAGTTAATGACTAAATAATATCATGGCGAGTTTTACGACTATAAAATATCCTTAGATATCGCATCGTTAAATATTTGAGCTCAACAAAATATTACAATAACGATCATAAATATGAATTTTGGTCGTTATTTTAAGAAGTAAGGGGGTACAAATGAAAAGGTTTGAAATTGACAACTTTTTCTGATTCACTGAAACAAGTGTTAAAGGCTCCAATCTTTCCTTTTTCCATTTTCTCACTGAAACCAAGTAGCGTCTCTAATATGACTTTCCACGCGATCAAGACGAAATAATTCATTATTTATGAGGTATTGGCAGGACGTAACGGTGGCACTAACTAAGAGAGAAACAAACAGAGTTATAATAAGAGAAGTATTGTATGTAAATAGAAATAAATGTAATAATAAAAATTATATATAGGAAATCAAAGAAATAATAATTGTGAATTATGTTAAATTATTAATTTTAAGCAATATTTACGTTTTTCTTTTTTTTAAAGTTAAACTTTGGATCCGTTATTTTTAGGACCTTCTAAAAATCTCGAATTCAAAACACCGATTATTTTATATGAATTATTTTTAATCAGGAACTTTTTTTTCAGTGTCGACTGCTTCAGTTATTCCTATTCGTACCTTTCCTGAAGACATTAGTGTGAAGTGTTGATTGATTGCTTTGGTTGGTTAGTTGGCTGATTTTGTTTAGAGGCATATCAACACCTCTATGGGCCATTTAATGCCAAAATCCAAATTTGAACACAATTTTATGGTTTCAACTAAATATATTTATATTTTGAACACAATTTTATGCCTACAACTACAGATAAAATGTATTTCTCGTCATTTTGCTTTAAAAATGTTTGTTTAGCGGCATATCAACACCTTATGAGCCATTTAATGCCGAAATTTAATTTTCTTTTGAGAATTAGTAATTTCTTTTACAAAAATGTATTGCTGGTAATATTTTTTACTATGAAAATGTATTGCTAGTATTTTTACTATAAAATGTATTTCTATACTTTCAGTGTTTTGACCCCAGTTCCAGAGTTAACTATTTGCCCATAACTGGGACCCCAACAGGGAGGACCTAGGAACAACAGCAATGAAGATAGTGTGAAGTGAATGCCCATTATCTCAGCTGGAGTTTGAATTCGGCCGACCAATTCCATTTTCCATGTTGCTAATATCTTGTCTACCTGTCCAACCTTTCGTACCTTTTGTAATGAATGCCTTCTCTCTTAAATTATTTGTATAATAAATTCTTACTACAAGCTCGAATAAGGACACAGTCTTAAGCACAGCATGAAGAAACACGAGACATGTTGAGAATTACTACAGTTGCGTAAGTCCTCTAAGAGGGGCTAGCTTTTCGATCAACCCTTATCAAAGAGATAAATTTAAAAAGATTAAACAATAGAACGCAATTTCCAATAAAAATAAGGAAAAATATTCTTAAAATAATCTTTATCCGTGATCTCATTATATATAAAAATGGGATAGTAACAGGCCAACTAAAATAATACTCGATAGTTTTTGCGAACAGATTAAAAATCATTTCTGCTTACAAAGAGACACTTAGACATCCAAAAATTAAAATATTCAAGTTGCTTCAACTGAAATGCAACGCTTAGAATTTTGCAAAGGCATTGGTAAAGACAGGCTTATCAACAAGATGTTGGTCAATTGCTGATTCCAAAATCTGAATATGTGTCATTGTCGCAATATGACGCGATCAATAATCTCCTAATCTCAAATAGAACATGTTGATTGTAGTGTTGGATTAAGCAGCATGTCCCATTTCGGATTAGAAATGGCTATTCGCGTTATACTATAACGTTGATACATTTGGACAGGTCGATTTAAGAACCGTGGTATTGCAATCAATTTGAAAGTTGATTTTTGACACAATAAATAACGACACAAAATCTTTTTTTTTTTCATATCGTTACAGTTTTTGAGGAAAACAGTTTAAGTTTAGGTTCAGCCTTATAAAATTTATAATTTATAAAACTTTATAAATTGTATATGGACAAGATACATATGACAAGCAGATTATTACTAAATCATTGTCCCATCAAATAAGACCTTCATTTGCTTTAAAGAGAAATTATACTGAACAATTTAGCTATATTGTGATATACGAGGGTCATTCAATAAATAAGGTGAATTTTTCGGTATAAGGACTTCTAATACAGATAGAAGCTTACTTTTTATTTTTCAACGTAGTCTCCCAGCACTGTCACACACTTTTCCCATCTGTGCACAAGCTTCCGTATTCCCTCAACGTAAAAATCTTTGGACTGATGTCTCAGCCATTCGCTCACAACACTTTTGGCTTCATCGTCACTTTTAAACTTCATGCCTCTCGTGAACGCTTTCAAGGAACCAAACAGGTGAAAGTCTGAAGGTGCAAGGTCTGGGCTGTAAGAGGGGTGAGGGAGCAGTTCCCAGCCCAGCTCGTTGATGGTCTGCTCCGTTTGGGCTGCTGTGTGAGGCCTTGCGTTGTCATGATACAAGATGACTCCTGCATTTGTTCTTTCTCTTTCTTGACCTGCCTCAGCAGTTCACAGTAGTTCTTCTGTCAGACTGAATGAGGTCATTGACTGATTCGATCACCTCATGAGACCTCACTTCTGTAGGCCTCCCAGGCCTGTCTTCATCCTCAATACTGCTCCGTCCTTCTTTAAACAATTTAGCCCACTTGTAGACATTTTTTTGGCTGAAACATTTGGCACCATACACAGTTGACATTATCCTCTGAATTTCAACTGGTTTGCACCCTTCAGCAACCAAAAATTTGATAACTGACCGCTGTTCAATCCTGGAGCATGCTTCTTGGTCGGACATCTTTGTTAATCGCCAAAACTCTCAAAGTTTTTTTTTAATCTGCAAAAGAAATTAAATTCATGTGAAAAAGAAGTAGAACAAAAAAAAAAGTATAAAAAAGTAAGCTTCTATCTGTATTAGAAGTCCTTATACCGAAAAATTCACCTTATTTATTGAATGACTCTCGTAATATATTATACAGTGCACTAGTTTTAGTGTGATTTTTAATAAACAATGCAAATTTAAAACATTCTATATTATAATTTGTTCCCAGCAGTAGTATGGCGTTGTATAAACTTCTATATCTTTTGCTTTTATGGATTATGAGCTAACAAAACAAATCTCATTAATTGAGAAACCTTATACAATTTTTTACACAGATTTTACTTATCGAATACAATAGAAAAATTGCATATTTTGCTTGTGGTGATTCCTAATTAAAATTCAGGTGTGAATATATTTTCCATTCAATGTAGCCAATAGAAAAGATATCAACTTTATTTGGATTTATTCTTGAAATAGTCAAATTTTGAGGTCTGTTTGTAAGCAAAAACCTACGGAAATAAGGTATTTCTGTACATTCTTTCAGACAATATTTAAAAGTAAATGCTCAAAAGTTGGTAAAAGGTATGAATCTAATTGTTGGCGTCACAACTTATCATATCAACTTCCAGCTTTTCCAATGAGCTCAATATTGATTTTCTAAATAAGTGAAAAATCAACCTTTTCTATTGACACATACCCAGAAAATTTAGGAATCAGCGATTGGCCAACATTTCATTACTGACTCTGTCTTTAGACAAGTTAGGACCTCACAGGAAATTGTGATATGTCTGTAGTACAACTGATAAGTGTAAATACGAAGTTTAGATGTTAGAAAAACTATTTGTACAATTAGGTCGATGATTGTTACTAGCTAAGTTAAAGGGTAGTACAATGACGACCAAACCTTCCCCCAACGCCATTGTTGGTCTTGTGTATATCTGTATTTTTCATACAATAAATATTTTGATAAACCTGTGTGCGCCAACGTTTTTTCGAAATTCTAAGCGTTACATACTCGTTATTTCAGCTGAGGATCCTTGAATATTTTTAGTTTTCAAGGTCAACCGTCTCTTTGTAAGCAAAAAAGTTTTTTTTTCTATTCGTTAAAACTGTTTTATTACTTAAATCTGCCTATCCTTTTAATCATCATAATCTTCACATCCTTCTTCCTCCTCCTCTTTTATCCAGCTTACGGCCAGATTACGTTGAAACATTGGTCCCTAAATGATCACTTACATTCAAAAGAATAAACAGCAAATGAGTTTTTTTTAAGATAATATTTAAAACTCTAATAGCAAAGCTTGTTTTATTTGTTAATACTTAACAAACAATATTTACGCTGTTCACTATTGACCGCATTTTTGTTGTTGCCATATCACGTTGAAACAGCGGTTCCCGTATGATCAGCGAAGTTAAGCAACGTAGAGCCAGGTCAGTGTCTAGATGGGTGACCGCTTGGGAATACCAGGTGCTGTAAGGTTAGATGTGCGTGTGGTATTAATCGGAGAGCCGAGGTTCAGTTCCAGTTGGGTTCGTTATATTAACTTACGTGCAAATACCCTCCCCAGCTATGGGTTAATTAGTAAAACCTGTATCACTAAAACCATTATTATCCCCCCAAAACATGAAATTGAGTAAAAAATATATAGATTTTGGCATCAAATAATCCATAGAGGTTGATACGCCGCTAAACAAAAACAACCAATCAAAATCCTCTTACAACATAACTCACATAACTCTTACCTTGACTGGCTCTAGAGCATTTTATTGAGCGAACTTTAGTATAAACAAAAAGCACTATGCCATTATATATATGTTTCATTAAATAATAAAGACAAGTGCTGTCTATTTATTTTATGTAAATTCTTTTCATAACGTCTGATAAGCTTAATAAAATTATAATTAAACGAAGAAAGAAAATCACAATATTGATAGATATTTTTTAATCCAATCTAAGCTTTCGGCTTACATAAGCCATTATCAAAGATAACAATTACTGTAGAATATCTTAAGCAATACACGGACAAGAATCTGATGATAGTCTGTTTCTGTTTACATGGATGATTTCCAAGCAACAATAAATATGTGCATATAAAACGCTGGAAGCGAAAATCGCACCGCAGCTCATGACGTCACACATGACCAGGCGAGAATGAACTCGAGAAATCTTAAGTATGGGAAGCCGTTGGTATAAACCAATGGCTTCTGTTACCAATTATATATATATATATATATATATATATATATATATATATATATATATTAGAGTAAAAAAGAAATAAGATATATAATCCGTTGTTCTTATTGATATTTTTTATTTTACAGAGCATATGTGTGTGTGTGTGTGTGTGTGTGTGTGTGTGTGTGTGTGTGTGTGTGTGTGTGTGTGTGTGTGTAAAATTTCAGATAGAGTAAAAGGGTAATGCCGGGTAATGTTTATCATTTCTCAGTTATGTCTCTGTCTTCGGGCAGAGTGCGAATCAGTTGCGGTTCCTTTGGAAGACAGAGGCGCAACTGAAGAAAATAATACTGTGAGGTTCTTCGCCCTGGGGAAGAGTTGCCGGGGACTGCACCCTTCCATGGCACTAGAGAGAAGGATCAGTTCTCGCTACCGAGGCCAGCACAACCGACGTTTCCGCTGGCTCGTGGAATTTTTGTCCTTAGTCCTTGCGTACAGGCTCTGGTTTCCCACAATAAACCCGACCTTGTGTCATATCACTTCTCAGTGGGAGAGACGAGATAAATATCTATCTGTAAAAGGAAAATATGAAAAAAAAAAAAGAAAAGAAACTTAGCCGATGCGTTTCGTCCACTGAGGGGCTTTATCAAGGCTAATGTAATAATTTTGTTTGATGACATTTATTCATATACAAGAGCAAAGGTTTTATTGGTTTTTCAAAATTTTTGGTGTAGTGTGCTTATGAATATTCATCAAATTAGCGAAACGTCAGACAAGTACATGGACGTAGAGTTATACAGTTCTGATATAATGGAATATGCGTACACCTGTGTTCCCCCTCACTGGAATATGATTAGCTGGTGTCCGTCATAAATACCGACGGCCGTGTAGGAGAGTCAAAGAGCCTTAGTCTGAGAGCTAAGTCTATAACGACGCCCATTGGACTACGCCATTGATCTATACTTCTTACCTGCGACTACGACGCGTATCAGTCGATTACTGCTACCATATTTTACTTGGTTATAGTAGCCAAAACTACTTAGCTACTTCGTTTAGATATATCCCTTTCCGGGACATATCAAGTTCAATGTCTAAAAAACAAAAGTGATGAGGTGTTATTTTCTTATGTATATATATGTATGTAAATTAGTATTTAAATTCTTTGTGTTTGGGATTGATTTATGTGTTTTATGTTTCGAATAATATAAGGTTATGGCTTTAACTGTATTCTTTTAATATTTTTTTATATTTTTGTAGTTATGTCTTTTGGCTTGAAATAAAAGTAATTCTTTCAGGAAAGGAGATATTGGTAAGAATCCGTTTATATTTTGATAAGACTCGATAGCTGCATTCTCGAGAATTTACTTTCTTTTTTAATAACTGTGACATTAGATAGGTCAAAGTTATAATCGAATTTATTCTATGTATGAATAATGCATTTAAAAAAAACCGTTGTGTGTAAGGTGCATAAGAGCATCCGTATATTAAAAATTTTGAAAACCCAATAACATTTTTGCTCTTGTATATAAATACTTGTCACAAAATAAAATCCACATATGTATGAAGCGTCAATAATCCTTCTTAAACAATCTTTGCATCAAAGGTTGTTCGAATACCAATTATATATATGTTTATATATATATATATATATATAGAGAGAGAGAGAGATAGATAGATAGATAGATAGATAGATAGATAGATAGATAGATAGATAGATGTATATGTATATATATATATATATATATATATATAAAACAGATGATGTTTTTCTATGTGTCTATCTGCGTGTGTATTATATTTATGCATGTACACATTTCTCGACCGATTTCGATGAAATTGTACACACAAGTTGCAAATTTGCTAACTGAAGTCAAGACAAACTTTTCAATCTTCAGGCCCCCGTGTTTGACAGAAAAATCGATGAAACTGAAGATTGGTATGACTTTTTGCTAAAACCAAGGCAGTTACACACGAACAAAATTTTTACGAGATGAGCTGATATTATTTGCACTTGATGCAAGACATGTTACAAGGTTTATGTAGAGGTCTTGATAGTTTTCCTGCGACATTGGCTTCACAAAAAACATTGCATAAAACTGTGAAAAAAAATCGGGTTTTTCGTACTACTTAAAATAAAAACTTGAATAAATTTCTCATATTTTATCCGACTTTTTTCAAACATGTCGCAAAAATTTTGCCATCATTCAAGAAATAAGATAATGTGGTTTTAGTCCTGCTTGTTTCCCCGCGAATAACGAAAAACACGCAAAACTGTTCAAAAAGCCCGTTTTTTTTTCAGCCATAACTCCCTGGTTTTTCATCCGTTGCTTTCCAAATTTGCCATATAAATTACACATGACATACAAATTGTCTTACATAAATGTTTGGCTTATATTATTTCAGTTAAGTGGGTGAAATCTGCAACAAACTGGGTCCAAAATCGGCTTTTGCCATTTAGCCAATAGTTTCTTCATATGATTCCATCCTAAATAGTCATTCGAACAACCTTTGATGCAAAGATTTTGTGAGAAGAATTATTGAAGCGTTAAAATGTAAAAATTCATGAAGAACCTCATATTAACCCCAGCTTTACAGTAAACGTGCTAAGAAGAAGGGGAGTGTTCATGCGTTTGCACTTGCAGTTGAATTAGGCTTCATCTCTGTTTTTGTTTGATTATTAGATCTGTGAACAAAGCCACATTATTTGAAAGTGATTATGTCCATAGGAAATCTACTGAATATTTAAAACATTGAAACAATTTAATCCCGAGCAATGACCACACAAAAAGGTTTTATCGGTGGAATTCTTTTATTAAGAAGAACCAAACACTTGCGTAGAAAAATACCGTGAAAAAGATGAGTGGGGAGTAGCAACGGATGATGCACGCAAACAGGGACGCAGGCAGACATTTCTAGACAGGGTATACAGGAAGGTGTGGTGCTGTTATACTATTGCCGGGTACCTCGGCTAGTATATGCATATAGTCATCGATAGACAGACTGTTTCGCTGTATCAGAGCTCCTCATCCGAACGTTTCAAGCCGGGACCGAAACCTGACTGATTTGGTATCAGTCGGACATTCCTAAGCTATCGACGTTCGACAGAGAGAAAGGCGAATTTTGGCGTATTTATTTTTTCATAAATTCGCCATATATATATATATATATATATATATATATATATATATATATATATATATATATGTCATCAAAATAACTACCTGAAGAAAGTATATATCCATATGGACGCTTGGCATAAAACAGTCGTTAACAAGTTTTTCCGAAACCAGCCTCCATGACTCTGCTACAGTAAGTTATATTTTCACGAGGTGGCCAAATTTGAAGTCTTGTACCACACTCAACATAGAGTAGTAAATAATAAATAAATAATGAATTTCATGATATTCTAGCATAGGTATTTACCTATGATAGTTTAATCTATTACAGTAATCTGGCAACAGAATTGCATGCTTGTTAACCATTACTCGAAGTGAGGTTGCCATATATTTTCTAAGTTTTACCTAGTCTGACACAAAGACATAAGTGTGACTTACCTAATGAGAATCGAACTCGCTATACAGTATTAATCTGCAATGTCACTGGTCCTGATCTGGCATCTCGTCGTCAGTCACTTTCTCACCGCCGTTATATAGTTTCCTATGCCTTTTCTATAAATAGTTTCATATTCTGATGATACCTAGACTCTGAATTTAAGCGCATTACTAAATTGGCCACAAGATCTCTTCATTTTAAAAATCGAAATGGCTAGATACAACCGTAAGTTCTATGCTAGCATTTTCTTCTCTCGTATTTCTCGCTTGTGAAACTCTATTCCGGTTTCTTGCTTTCTTGTCAAATTTGATCTTCAAAAATATAAATGCAATGACAATCGTAATCTTCTGTCCTTTTAAATTTTGTTTTTATTGTTCTTGCACCTTAGTAATATTTTTCTTATATTCTTTCACACTCGGTAACGCTTTGTATATTAGTGGTTATAATGCCTTGCCTAGAGTGAAATGGTTAAAAAAAAAACAACTACGGAGTACCTACAGAATTCATTACACAGAATTTATGTTAATCTAGTTCAAGGGCAAAAGTAGAGAACACAAGAAGACCGAACACGCTCTACAATAATAATGGCTTTCGAGATTGGACCGCTATTCACTGAACCACAAAAAGGATGTTCATAGTATATTGATATAAAGATATGTCTGCGTAATCTGTCTCGATAGTGTGTCAGTTATTCTTGAATTCTGTGCGTTGTTTTCGATATTTTCATATCACGCCTCGTCAGCAGA